GGCCATTTCATTGGTTGAATGGGATCTTAAGACGACCCAAGACCACACTTAAGACGATCTTGGATATAAGAACGGACTATGAATACCGGCCTAGGTATACTGGTATACTATGGGCGTTTTCCAGCAAGATACAAAGACGACACAGTGTATTACACATTGGCTGCGGTCGAAAAGACGCTAGAAATGCTTCGAAGCATTGCATTAACCAATTAGAATAAAGAAATCTTTATTCTCTTTGTCCTGATTGGTCAATCAAACGCTTCGAAGCATTTCTAGCGTCTTTCCGACCGCAGCCGTTGATTTGTTGGTTAAAAGTAAAAGCCAATCACGTTTGATTACTACTGAACAGTTTCATAAAAAGCTACTAGCACAAGGAACTAAGATTTTCTTTGATCTGATTGGTTAAATTTCAATCTTTAATCTCCAATCACAATCTTTAATGTATAGTTTGAAATGGACTTTAGACTAGTTACTATTTTTACAAATATTCCGATTTCGCCATTTTTGACCAAAAAGGATTTCAGCCAATCAGAAGAAATCGAATGATGTCCCAGCTCACACACTATTCTACACTACACTTCTACACTCATGACTATTATTTTACGCCTATATACATATATGTAGATTTATTATACATACTATACAGGGTGTCCTATAATTCGCGGATCACCCGCCATGTGGAGGTAGAGCATATGAAACCGAGAAGAAGTCCTTTACCATTTTGCGATATTCGTAATAATTATTAAGAAATTAATTTAAAAAGATGGGCCAATCCATGCCTTACACAAGCGCGCGGCGAGAAGAGACTTCCTACTCAGGCGTTGCTAGGTGCGCGGCGAGTTATTGTTAACGCCTTTGTATTCTCATTTAACGCCACTTCTGTATACATTATACGCTAGATTTTGACCGTATTGACGTTCGTTCGAAGGCAGGAGCCAGGAGCCATTCAAGCAAAGAAGCAGAAGAAGAAGCGACACGTAACTGGGAAACCGCATACGAGAGAAAGACCACGTACCCACTAACCTCAACGACGACAACGATGCCTAGGAAGAATACGGCGGCCGCCGCGTCCTCCGCGACAACCGTCCCGTCCTTCGCGACAACCACCGCCTCATCGTCGTGGAATATCATCCAATCGCCGCCGAGCACGTTGACGCCGATCGTCGATCGATGGCCAGGCAACCTACTCAATCTCAACGATCGTCCAGCATCGTACATCGAAACGATACGTTATCTCGATTCGGAGAACTCGCGGTTGAAGCGGGAGGTGCAAACCACCCAGGAAACTTTCACTCGGGAAATGTCCAACATCGAGACCGTACTCTCTAACAAGCGGAAGCTGCTCGACGAGGCGGACACAGAACGCGTCAAGTTCGAGCTCAATATCAAACGCTTGCGGGATGATAACGAAGATCTCAAGAACAAGTAAGTGATACTGTAGTATTTTTTCACATTGTTTCTTTACTTGCGAAATGGGTAGGAAAGTCAAATGGTGTTAATAAAAATTATATTAATATTGATAGATATTGCCGTAATTGAGCTTGTGATATTTTGAGAATCATTGTGTCTGTCTAGAATGTGAATTTCTATACAGAAATAACTCGATGTAAGAATTTTCATTCCGTTTTGTGCTTAAACATGAATTGGGTCGCTTGTTGGATGCATGATAGATATGTACCGTTGTTTAATGAAAATAAGTGCACTGCAGTAGTAACGTTCAGATTTCAATGCTATAGAGCCTATGCTATGTATTAAAAAATAACAGATATTAGTACAAGAATCTTGAAGTAATTAAAATGGTATTTTAATTAATTTTTATTTAGCAAATATATATAATGTATTCTGAAAGTTGAGAAGATATGTTATGTAACTAAACTTAATCGGGTACACATATCGTTTACTAAATTATAATGAATAACAGCTGCCACTATAAAATCATGCTCTGATGTAATAGCTCATAGAAATCTTAGCGAGCATTTTCAAAAATACTGAGAGTTAAAATGTTTAGTACAGTAAATGTATTCATATCGGAGATAGTTATTCTACTAACGGAAATAAATGATATATGTTTGTGATTTAATGAATATGACTAACATTTTTATTTAACGTATGTTCTCTAGATTGGAGAAGAAGACAAAGAATTTGCAGATAGCAGAACGAAATGCAATGATACATGAAAAAGGCTCCAGTGATTTGCAATCGTGGGCGAAGTGCAACACACTTACGGAGATAGAAAGTCGTTCAAAGCAATTGAAAGCATTGCTCGCTTTGAAACATCAGGTGATGAAGATGCAAGTCGATTTTGCAAGCGTTATCATATCACGTGTCTTATGCGTATCGTGGAAAAGCCCTATAAAGGGAAGCATATTTCTGCCGCAAATGGCAGCATACATGCAAACACAGAGAAGAATGAATTCTAGCGATATTATTCATCAGGCATTGCAGGAAGTTTTGTGCATGTTTTCGAGAGGGGAGGATCCTTTGATAGACGTGTCATCTGGCCGTGAAGACAATCCGAATAGTCAAGCGAGTCTTTTGTTAATTTCTGTGAGGTATCCTGTATCTCGTCAATTTTGGACAACACCATTATTAGGCGACAGTTCATTAGAACCGAAAAGTTTTACTTATTTATTAGATTGTTATTCAAGAATTGCAATGGAAGAAAGAAATCATGAAAACAACCGTCCCGTCTTCCGCAACAACCGTACCGTCCTCCGCAACAACCATCCCGTCCTCCGCGACAACCGCCACCTCGTCGTCGTGGAGTAGCATCCAATCGCCGCCGAGCACGTTGACGCCGATCGTCAGCCGACAGCCCGGCAGCCCGCTCAGCCCCAGCGATCGGGCATCTTACATCGACACGATACGTTATCTCCAGTCTGAGAACTCCCGGCTGAGGCGGGAGGTGCAAATCACCCAGAAAACCGTCACTCGGGAGATGTCCAACATCGAGGCCGGGTACAGCAACGTGATCTCTAACAAGCGAAAGGTGCTCGACGAGACGGACACGGAACGCGTTATGCTCGAGCTCAATATCAAACGCTTGCGGAATGATAACGAACATC